ATATATTTCGGCAAATATATATTAATAAATAAGCAATAAATATCATATATATATATATATATATATATATATATATATAATGAGATCTGTGTGCAAAAAGGTAAAATTTTTACCAAACTTTGCCCATACAAGCATCTCGGCATTCAACTTAACATACACCCAGGATCAGGAAATGAGAACAATTGCATTATTCAGCTTCCTTAATAGGTTTCTTATTAGTTGATAGAAGTGTTGCTTTACTTCCATTTTTCCAGTATCAGCGAAGATTCGATGTCGGTGCCTCTTCGTTGCATTGCAGACTCAGCACGATCGCTTGCTAACGTTGCTGTGATTTAAGCCAAATTATGCGGTTCTCGTCTTGGGCTGTATGTAGACTTTCTCATTTTTCCTCCACATTTTGATCGGTGTGGCGCATTGCCGACACGACGGAAGGCCATCCCACCTCATTCTATACTCATACGTGGTCCATATCTTTGCGGAAAGATACGGTTTGCGTTCTTTGTGATCCTGTGTCCATGTAAGTTTTCGTTTTTTTGTCTCCCATTTCTCGCCACTTTGTACGGGAAAAGAAAAACGTTTGTGCTTTTCGCTGCAGATGCTTGTTTGCGTTTCTTTCCCCGTGTGGGACATCCTGTTTTATTACTTAACAACTTTGCAGCGTCCCCTCTCTGTTTAGGATATCCTCTTTTTTCCGGCAGTTGCAATATATTCATAATAATTAGACATTTTTTACATCTGTGCAAGATGAATTGTGCTTGCATGCTCTTCTAGTCCCTCATGTTCTCTTCCTGGGAGCGCCGCTCAGTCCTGGAATTTCTTTGCAATAGTTCCGAGAAGTTATTAATGAATGAACAGCCAAGTGTGATTTTTTTTTAACGATAAAGTGCTCACTAGTATGGCGTGCTCAATACCAGTGTTTACTTTGAGTTGGAATGAGTTGCTGCCAGTGATGTTCGGTTGGGTGCCTTTTGTGATTGCCGCACTTTCAAGTTGTTTCATCCATTTATCCATGAACCTATGCGTATCTTTTTGGAAAGTGTTGTTTTACCTGCATTGAAAGATTGGTTTGTGCGGACACGTGTATGTACATTTCTGTGCTTAGCTCTTCATTTCCTTCACAAATCATTTTTCCCTAAGTAGTCAACTAAAATTCGCATGCTTGTCAGACTCATCTGAGCTACTCTCTAGAACACATAAGTCGCCTGATTACGGCTTAGTAAATTTTGCTCTATAACTCCCGCAACGCCGCTCGGATTTTCCTGGATTCTCTCATACAAATAAATTGATTTGGGATGACAGCGGAAGCTGATATCTTTGGTTTGGGAAACCGGGTGTATTTGTGCAGCTGGATACCTTTTCATCGCAGTGGTGTATTGGGGGGGGGAGGGGGGCGGACATTAGGTTAAGGCGCCAAAATCGCTCAAGCGGAAAGGGGTAGTGTGTGGAGAATCAAGGAATCTTAATTTTCAGAGAAATGAAGCACAAAATTTAGCGGGGTTGGGAGGGAGAGGGAGTGGACAAATGGTTTTGTTTTAAAATTGTCCGGAATGTACTGAATTCATTTAAAAAACTTGAGCAGCAAACTGCGAAATATCGAATTTAATTTGAGAACACAGTCAAAGTGTGTGCGGTTTTGGACTGGATTCGCCGTACGTGGCGTTGTACACATCACTATTTTATCAAGAATTTATGCTCATCTTCCATTCCACTGTGTTTTCATTCATCCGGTATTGTTAGCCGTTCACTTAATAACTTTCTGTTTTATAGACACCTGCGAGATCTTTCACTGGGATGAATGCTGATTTGACAGTGAAGCAGTCTTCATCACACCTGCTGGATAGCTCTTATCGCAGCGTAGCATCTTGCTGGAGGCCCTTCGGTTGGTCCAGGTGTTCGTTGGTAGGCCCAATTTTCTTCTCCGAGGGGTAGAGCACACTTTCAATTCAGCAGCATGCAGACAGTGTATTTATTGGATTATTTCGTTTTCTCAGCAAATTTATCTCTGTATTTATCACTATGTGTAATAAAATTGCGAATTTATTCAGTGTATTAGAGTTTTTGTGCGGAAATTGTTAGATTGCAAAAAACAACCCTCAGGAATTAAGTGGATTAACATTTCTTTGAGCGTAACTTGGAGATCCGTAGTCATCCTTCGGGGAGTGTTCAGTCGCACTCTGGTCTCGAGCAGTGAAGAAAATAATTGGCCAGCGCGCCGACTGTTCATGTGAAGATGTGTTTCTTGCACGGCTTCCCACAGATTTTTGTCGCTAACGGCAGTGTTTTTGCCGGCAGATGCTTCTAATGAAAAGAATTAAGACTGGCCATCAAGACTGTCGAAAACATTCTCTTAAAATCTTAGCTTTCTAGCTTTTCTGGTTCCTGTGTTAACAACTACCCGCTAAAAATTCTCGCGTATCCGTGCGTGGGGACCACGCACAACCGAGTGCTGAATTTGAAGCCATCAAGTTTTACGTGGATGAGGAACATCCTCTTAAAGTTTCAACTTTCTGGCTTTTCTGCCTCCTGGGTCAGCAACTTGCTCGCCAAAAATTTTCATGGGATCGTATGTGGGTTCAGCGTGGCAGGAGCGTCCATTTTAGGGATAGGGGCCCGTATATGTGTGTAAATTGAGACGACAAAGTGTCAGCCTTGTAGCTTTCGTAGGCCTCGAGATGAAAAATCAGTACAGATGCACATACAGACAAACGCACACACACAAATAACTCGACAGCATGTATCTTTGCATTGTATAGGTGCAAAAAACGCATTAAAAACCAAGCAACGTACTGCATGACAGAGAAGCCTCCGGCCTCGGTTGGGGTTTGCCAAAATGTATGAAGAGAAGACAAGTGTTCGAAATACATGTATTTGCAAGTCAAGTACATTTGTTCCGTGAATCCAAGCTTTTATGCGGACGATTGCTTAGTGCTGCATGGTACCATGCTTTCGCTCACTAAATGCGGTGCAAGTGGTACACTCCTCTCTCAGTACAGTTTCACCAGCTGCTCATTTGAACGAGTTGCAGTTCTGCCAGTCTTTTTTTTTCACACGCTGGTGCCTTTTCTCGCCTGAATGCGCTAGTTTTTATGTATTTTTGCAACAGTCAACATATAATGTGTTCATTACTTTCCTTGTGTTCGCGTTTCTATTTGACCGCAATATTTCATGTGCACAACGATGAAAGCAGCGAAGCCCAAGGATAGAATTCTCGACAATAGAGATGGCCAAAACAAGCGAATTTCTTAACCCAAAGGCTAAATAGCTATAAACTTGATATTTTGTAACTGCTCCACCGACATATCAAATGCACGAAGCTGCATTAAACTGAGTACAGACATGTATGCAGTCTTAAATTCAGATCCTTGGCTTTGCAGCTATCCAGTCAACTGTATTTATGAATCAGCAAAAATCTTGTCTTTTTTCCCAAACAGGCTAGGTAATTGTTATTATAAATTCACTAAAAGCAGTGGAAACGAAATGGCTATTCGGCAAAGGAACGTTGAATCGCTGTATCCTGGATATCGGTAGATCAGCAAGACTAGTTATACTTCCAACAATTTTTCGCGTAGTGCATCTTAGTGCTTATGAAAGAAGATAGTTTTCTGGGACAAAATGCGGCGCTCTGTGCCTGCCAGGGAAAGACAAGTTGTTTTTAGAAAGGGCACAGAGAAATTGTTTTGCGTCTGATCAAGAAAGAAGTGTCTGGTGGTTTCCATGCAACGAAGTGGTGAAGTTGTGTTGTGCGCAAAGAGCAGTTCGGTGTTAACGAGCAAGCAGTTCATCTGTCAATCAGTGAAAAGTGCAACGGATTGCTGGCAACTCCAAACTGGTATCACCGTTCTGTTAAGCCGATTATGGATGCCGTTGTCGCTGCTGCGTCGGCTGGTTCGCGGCCCATTGGCTGCACTTTATTAAATTTTATTTTATATTTCTTTATGCGTTTTTGCTTATATACAAACTGCAAAAACGCATATTGCAACGACCCTGTCTGTATGTGTATGTGTATGTTTGTGTGTGTGTTCGTCTGTCCTTTGTGTATGTGTATGTTTGTGTGTGTGTGTTCGTCTGTCCGGATTTTCAACTTGGCAATCAAGCAAGCTCCAGCGCTAAGACTTTGCTAATGGGCTGTCCGGCCAAGTGCCACCCCAGAACCGTGGTGCCAACCCTCACGCAAGTTTGGGCCTCACGTACGAGAGGGTGAGAGTTTTGGCGGGAAAATTTATAACTTGGGAACGAGAGAAGATAAAGGGTTGAAATTTTGAGGTTATGTTCTCCGTCCACATATAACTCAGAGATTTCAAATTCAGCCCCCAGGTTTGCATGGTTCTCGCGTACAGCCCCATGAAGGTTTCTGGCGCGAAAATTGCTAGCTTGTGAACCAGAAAAGCTGGGAGGGTGAAATTTTCAGAGGATGTTCCGAGCATAAGTACAACATAAACCTATCAAATCCAGTCCCCAGTCATGCGTGGTTCTCACGTACGGCCCCGCGAAATTTTTTGGCTGGAAAATGGCTAATCTCGGGAACCAGGAAAGCTAGGAGGCTGAAATTTTGAAGGGATGTTCCCAGCCTGCATGCAACTTGAAAATTCCAAACCCAACCCCCACATATACTTCCAGGTTACATGTGGCCCAGTGAAAGCCTTAGCGAGAAAACTGCTAGCTCGGGAATCAGAAAAGCTGGAAAGCTGAGATTTTAGGAGAATACTCCCCGTCC